GGACATAGTGATGATAGACAATCAGAAGAAGATAGCCGTAGTGATCAATGTAGCGGTCCTAAATTACAGCAACATCAAGAAGAAGGAACACGAGAAGGTCGAGAAATACTAAGGGCTCAGAGAAGAGCTCGAGAAGATGTGGAGGGTGAAGGTAACCAGTGGTCCCAGTGGTAATCAGAGCACTAGGTGCAGTGACTCCCAAGCTAGGCGAGTGGCTCCAGCAGCTCCCGGGAAAAACATCGGAGATCTCTGTCCAGAAGAGCGCAGTCCTAGGAATAGCTAAGATACTACGCAGGACCCTCAAGCTCCCAGGCCTCTGGTAGAGGATATATGTGTGTGTGTGTGTGTGTGTGTGTGCATGTGTCTCGTCTGTTTCAGCTTTTTTCTGACCATCAGTTTGCCATACCAAAGATTTAATAAACTGTCCAACAAGGTCAAACAGATGTGTCCATTGTTAGGTAGTCTCTGATGTGGATTTTCATCTCTGGTATACAGCCCCATCAGCCCCAACACCACACTGGGTGTGAATACAAGGAAAAAACCTGTAGATGACAAAATATGTTAAAACACTAACCATTTGACACACTCACACCATATTTGTTCTCAGGGCAACCCCCAAAATGAGACTTTTGTTGTCTTGTCTTGTTTTGTTTTTTAAGAAAAAAAACAAAACAACCTTTTTTTGACTTTTTTTTTTTTTTTAAAGAAAGGCATTATGAATAAAGCATGCAGTTGTACATTTATATAGGGCCTAGTCATTGTGTTTCTTACCATTTGTGCCATCTATATTAAAAAGAAATGTCTTGTGAGATGCTGTAGCTCCTCTGGGCCATTGGTGAAATGTATCAAGTCTCCACACACCAATTTATATAGGGCTGTGACTTGTAGTTAACAGAAGGATGGCTTGCTATGACAGGTTGATTCACAGAACAAGGGGAAAAAAAACTCAGATTCTTTATCTCACCGCTGTAAAAAAAACAAAACAATGGGTGTTAAGACCCCTGATGACCAGAGCTTTGAAACAGAAGTCCTTCACCACGGTCCATTACACACTGACCCCGGGGCACCAAAACACAGATAATACAGAGAGAATATTTTAGCTTCCTGAGAGACTGGGGGTGATGGAGGTCTAGCACTAACAAATGCCCCATATCCTTTGGCTTTTCAGCCCTAAAACAAAGACACAAACAGTTGTAGGTATAATAGCTTTCAGTCCTTAGAAGAAATAAAAACACACAGCCATGTGTTGGTGCAATGGCGTTTAGCTTTTAGAACAAAAGACACAAGGGAGAGAGAACGATGAAAACTTGCTTAATTAAATAGACTTGTAGTAGCCTTTGTGTGAATTTTATATTAACAGTCAAACACCTCCATTAAGAGGTGTATTTAAATGTCATGATGCAGTCTTGATCAGTAGTTTATTCACTTTTTGTCAGTATAACTTTAAAAACTGCACAACTGTGATTTAAATTGGTGTAATTGTGTTTTAGGTTGTGGGGGCCTGTTTGTTAATTTGTTTTTTAAAGCATTTTAAGTTTTTTTTTTTAGACTGAAGACTTAGACTTCAAGTAACTGTTAAGGTAAACTGTAAAGGGCTTGTTAGAAGCTATGAAAAACATACAGATTTCTAGATGTTAGAAGACTTCTATTTTTACAGTAAATATTAATCATTAAGAGAAAAAGGTAAAATGGTAAAAATGGTAAATGGCCTGTATTTGTATAGCACTTTACTAGTCCCTAAGGACCCCAAAGCGCTTTACATATCCAGTCATCCACCCATTCGCACACACATTCACACACTGGTGATGGCAAGCTACATTGTAGCCACAGCCACCCTGGGGCGCACTAACAGAGGCGAGGCTGCCGAACACTGGCGCCACCAGGCCCTCTGACCACCACCAGTAGGCAACGGGTGAAGTGTCACGTATGCTGTGCTACAAAAGTTTCATCACCCATCCAAGAGACTGACTGCAGGTTTTCCCGACCTTATGAACAGTACATTTGCATAATGATGGAAACTGGCACTATTGAGTAACAATGGGCCAAAAGGTCAATTTCATGACCATAAGTACTATGTACAGAAAGTTGTAAAATGGCTGCCTCTGTCATGGATTTCTCTGTGCACAGGTGGGCAGGCAGGATTGGAGGACCAAAATGCAGAATCAAAGACAGAACGTAACTCAAAACCAGCTTTATTGTTGCATGAATAAATACAGAAACTAAACTGGGAGAAACTAGAAACTAAAGCACAGGCAGAACAGACAGCTAATGAGGGAGAATGTGACGCTGAACAGAGGGTGACACACACTAAATACAAGAGGGGAACAGGACAAAGAGGAAACACCTGGGAAAAATAACTGGCAACTAATCAAACATATGAGGCAGGGGGAAAAACAAAACAGTAACAGGAGACTATATAGTAAAATAGGAAGTGAACATGCCAAAAGGCAAGAGCGACAGAGACACAACTGAGAAACAAGGGAATAAACATAGAGACAAGACTATATGTGCATCATGACACAGCAGGGAGGCAAGACAAGGGAATCCTAAAGACTAGATAAGAAAACTAGGACAACCTGACAACATAAACAGAGGGCGAGAGAGCAACACACAGAGACATGACGAGGGCAACAGAGGGGACAACACATAGAGGCAAGACCAAGACAAACACGACACAGAGATGAGACCAGGCATGAACAAGACCAAACACCAAACAACCTAGACTAGAAACACAGTTAACTAAATTAGGAACAAGTCAAACAGCGAAAACTGTAATGAATAAACAAGACTCAAAAACCATAGACATAAAACACTGAGTTGACCACCCAGGTACCCTAACAGCCACACAACATTGTAATGGGAAATGGACTGATTCTTATATAGCGCTTTTTTTCCTCTCCTGGAGTACTCAAAGTGCTCTATACAACATGCCACATTCACCCAATCACACGAGCACTATCTTCTATGCCTTTTTAATATTTGCCATGCAGTTACATTGAAACCAAGCACACCATTGTTGTTCTTGTGACATTACCAATAAGTTTGATGTGTCACATGGCCCTCTTCCTATTGAAAAAACAAAAGTTGTATCCAAGATGGCCGACTTCTAAATGGACACCATGGTCACCACCCATCTTGAGGAGCTTGCCCCCTCACATATACTAATGTGCCACAAACAGGACTTTAACATCACCAACCATTCCCATGTTATTACGGTGTATCCATATAAATGGCCCACCCTGTATAGTGCTTTTCTACTCTCCCGTAGTACTCAAAGTGCTCTACACAACATGCCACATTCACCCAATCACACCAATTCTCACAAGCACTGTCTGTATACTTAGTGCTTTCTAACTACATTCACACACATTCATACTCCGATGGATGAATCGGAGAGCAACTTGGGGTTAGTATCTTGCCCAAGGATACTTGACATGCAGACTGGAGGATCCAGGGATTGAAACTTCCAATCAGTAGGTGACCCGCCCTACCTCCTGAGCCACAGCCACCCCTCACACCATGCCACCAGACCATCCACCTCTCTCCTATAATATAATAATATATGTTTCCGATACCTGGGTGTCCACATCACTCAGGACCTGTCATGGTCCTGTCACATCAACACCCTGGTTAAGAAAACCCGTCAGCGTCTCTTCTTCCTCAGAAGACTTAGAGACTTCCATCTGCCACTGAAGGTGCTCAAGAACTTTTACTCCAGCACCATCGAGAGCTTCCTGACGGCAAACATCTGCACCTGGTTTGGGAACAGCACCAAGCAGGACAGACGAGATCTGCAAAGAGTGGTGCGCTCAGCCGAACGCATCATTCAATCAGAGCTCCCTGACCTGCTGTCCATCTACACCAAGCGGTGCAAGTCCAAAGCTAGGAAGATTATGATGGGCCTCTCCCACACACATCACATCACCACACGCACCACCGTACATTTCCTATAATTTATAATCTTTATAATCTCTTTCTGCTATTTGCACATTTTTTACTGTAAATTTCTAAGTTAATTTGTAAATTTTGTAGTAAGCTGTAAATTGTAAATACTGTAAAACTTTTTTCTGTCATTTAATGGTCGGGCATTGTACAGCTACAAGCATTTCACCCCCATGTCATACTGTGTATGGTTGTGTGTGTGTGACAAATAAAATTTGAATTTGAATATAAGCCGCTTCGTCCCCTCCAGTGATGCGACCGATCACTGCAGTGCCATCTGTGAACTTCAGTATGATGTTCTCTTTGTTGGAGGTGACACAGTTGTGAGTATACAGGGTGTAGAGGATGGGGCTGAGGACACAACCTTGTGGAACTCCAGTGCAAGATCACAGGTGAAATTGGATGATGACTTGGTGGTTCATTACTGTATTTGAAGCACATGTGTGACTGCATGTATTTCATCAGGTGACAGAGGCAGCTCTGCCATATTGTAGCTCGGACAGAGGTGAAGAGGCAAGGTCACAGGTGACTGACTGAGGATTTGGTGCTATAGATTAACTAGTATTTATTATCATCATCCCATCATCCCAGTATCCTCGGCTGAGGATGAAAGAACCTTCAGTGCTCTCAGAAGACTAAAAACATGACCGAGGTCAACAATTACATTGAGTTGTTGTGTGGGGCATGTAGTCCATGTCTGTTGCTGTAACAGTAGTTCATGTTTAGAATAAAAAATCCCAGCTCACTGAATTGATAGGGGCAATAGTGTAGTGTGCCTAAAATGTTGCATAATTTTGCTGAGAGATCTTTTACTTTGTGGAAATCTTAGATGAGTAGTTTTATGGACAAAAGCCACCAGGTCATTCAGTGTTCCCTTAGTGCTGATGTATAAGAGATGTTGGTGTACTATAACTGAAGTAATGTTGTCCTTACAGTCATATTCTTTTGTTGTCATGACTGTATTTTAAGCTATTTTAATTTTTGTATGATACCTGATTTATATGGAATATGGCTGAAGTAAACTAAAGTCTAAAATGCTTAGTCAGTCATTTGTTTAATAGTAATTAAACATTATATAATTCACATGTAAAACTGAATTGTAAGTTTAAATGGTTTAAAAGCATGTAGAATAGCATATGTAGTCAAGTATATTTCTCCTTTTTTTATCGAGAAGCAAAGACAAAAAAGAAAAAAAAGGAAACAGGGCAGGGTTCGGTGGTTAAATCATCTGTCCCCACCAATGCCAAAACCAAACCTATACCCTGGGATAGTGTCTGTCTCCCGAATCCAAACTGGAAGCTGGTTCCATAGAAGAATGAGTCTGAATGAGATTCCGATTTCATTGCTGTATATCCTGGTGGTGTGGATCAGTGAATCAATGTCCCATTCACTCTTGGCGTACAGCTTGATGCCATCCACGTAGAGGAGGTGGCTGACAATTGCTCCAGTCGGGATCCATAGCCATGCTCATCAATGATCTCACTAATGCTATGTAGCAGTGAGGACAGAGTATGTCCTTGGCCAATCCTGCATTTGATGGTGACTTGTGCTATTTTCTTGAAGTTGGACTCTAGTGTTGTTCACCACATCCTCATTGAGTTCCCGATGAAGGATCTAAAGGTCCTGTTGACCTTGTATAGTTTGAGGCATTCCAGGATCTACATGCGGGGCATTGAGTCATAGGCCTTGCTGTACCTGGGTTGTACCTATGCTGTACCTGGGTTGACAGCACTAGCTGGTGTTTCGCTCTAGTATTCCTACCAATTCCTTTATGTGTCCTGCTCATTTTTTTAGCCATGTGCCTGTTCATCTTTGCTGCTATATGTGTAAAACGTTTTTGATATGGTGAGCGAGACATATTGTGTTGGACATATAACATAGATTAGTAATAACTAAAGTTGTTTTTGTTGTTGTTGTTTCTGTCCAAAAATGGTTTGAACAGGGTTAAACATTTCAAGCAGATTAATATAATTTTTATTTAAAAATTCTCCTTTATCTTTTATTATACCCATAATAGTATGTGCTAAATCAGAAGTGTGTTCTGTATATGCAAATTAAATCTTTCACAATGTAAAATGAAGACCAGAGAAAGAAGTGTATGTTCCTGGTTTTTTAATCATAAAATGGAAAAAACAAAACAAAACAAGAATCTAATAAGAGCCACATCAATCATGAAGGAACTGTACAATGTAGGCAGAAGTGGGTAGCTAGACAGAAACATGGTGTTAGCCAGACTTCTCATTTCATCAGTTGCAAAGTAACATTTGACATAACTACATTTATTTAAAAAAAAAAAAAAAAGACTGAAAAAGTTGTCACTGTACAAAATGTAAACAGCATCGTTGATGGGTCCAAAAGACATATTCTGTTTCTCAATGTGATATGAAGGTGAGGAGAAACCTTTTATTTCTCAATATTGTTAGTGTTTTCATTTTGCTTCCAGGGTGTCAGGTTTATATAGTGGATTGTCATTTATGCTTAGAAATATCTACTCATATATGCTTAGAGTTGCATAATCAATGTCATGTTGGTAGAGGGTTGATCCTTAGTAGTCTGTGGAGACTCTGTGTGCCTCCCAGAGCACTCTGGCATGCACACACAACTTAAGGTCAGGAGAGAGGTTATATCTGCTCTTACTGATATATGGCAAACACACGCATATCTGTCTTACTCTAAGTTCCTTTTGTTTAGATGAACTGCTGGACATCCAGACCAACAGGTTTAGGGAAGTCGTTTATGGGGTCACACTCTGACCACACACACACACACACACACACACACACACACACACACACACACAGACAAGTTATTCTTTGTCCACATGTATACCTATATGAAACGTCATATGTTAATGAACCTATGCATATTCATGTGACCACAATAAAAGGAGTGCTACAGGGAACCTGGCTGAGAGGCTGACGGAGGTCAATGGGTGGAACGACACTTGGCTCCAGGCAGGCCTCCCTCATGCATGAGTAACACAAAGAACTTTGCCTACTCGTGTCTTGCTTTTGCTGTGTAGTTGAATTGTCTTGAACGTTCCAGCGAATGGGTTTAAGCTACAAACCTATCACAGGGTGATGCAGAAAAGGAGAAAAGCCTCCAGTCACATTCCAACGCAAAAGATACCCGCAGCAGAGGGGACCACCATCAGCACCAGTGATAGTTAAAGGGCAGTCTGCCACCCAGTACTGTTAATAATGCAATCTAATGATTCTATGATTTAAAGTCATACAGTATGTATCATCATGCATCATTCATGAAAACCGTCTTCATTTACCATGTATCCTTGCTATGCTACCTTTTACAGCAATGCAGAGTATTTGGCCACCCCACATCATCAGACATTTAGGGCCTTTTCCTAGCAATTTTTAGAAAACATAATATTTCATGTCCAACATATTTGATATTAGATCTGATTTTATTCAATATTAAACTGATGCTGAAAACATCACTATATTTTTACAAACATTTAAAATAATAGTACATTTGAATCCAAGGGTACTTTTTATAGGTTTTGGTATTCAAAAAAATTGACAAGCTGACTGGACTTTTTAAGGTACAAGCTAAAAATGCAAAAACAAACGAACAACAACCTATTCTCAAATTCAGAACTGTTCTACACACAGAAAGGATATATAATGTATCCTTACTGTGCAGAACTTAGACCTCTCTTGGTTGAAACTGTTTTTTGTTGTTGTTGTTAGCTTTCTCCTCATTTTTGTTGGCCCCCAAATTCTCTACACCGATGCATATATAGGACATCACATATAATGGGTTTCAACTAAAAAACAAAAGTGCAAACACATATTACAAGGGATCAGTGAAAACAAGTTTAAAACATTTAACTGGCAGGTTAAACTTTTCTCTGAATTCTAATGTACGCATAGTACATTAGCAAATTTAGTGGCAGGTGTTAGTGTCAGCTTCTCTGCAAGCTTGTGTCTTTACAGTTCAGCTAATGTACATGGCACATCTCCATTGAATGCTTTGAGTTAGGTAAAGTGGCCTTTAAGAAAATTGTTTAAAATTGAATTGGCGCACAAAGCTATTCTCTGGGTAACACAGAATCTACAAACAGGTTTTAGTTTTTACTAATATATAGACTCACACTAGGCATTCACTGTTATATTTTGCCTTTTTGCCTCTGTTCTGATAGAAGGGTCATTTTTGTATATTATAATTTCATTTTTATTTTATAAATATATATTTTCATGTTTTTATTTATTATATTTTATGCAATAATACTGATTACAGTGAGGATTCAAGCTGTATCACCTCCAAGGCAACTCACAAATATTTTGCAGCCAGTTACGCCATTAGTGACACAAACAGTATTCAATTTCAACATGATAATAAAACACCCAGGCTGCTATAACATTAAATTACATTAAATTTTTTTTCTTAAATAATAAAGGGCAAACTTTTGTGGCTGCAGTTATTTCTCCTGCCCATATTGACCACGAAGTCCTTTTAATTGTGGCTCCTTTTACAGTAGCAATTCTGCCATGGTTAATCTAAACTTGACGCATCAAATGATGGTGATGTAGGCCAGCACAAAAGAACAAAAACATGTGCATCTCACAATTTTCCACATAAGACAACAGAACAAACTTTCCTAGGCTTGTGACAGCTGCATGTGCAGCAACACAGCTGAAGTTGGGCAAAACAATATGCATTCTGGGATACTTATATACAGGAAGAGCTGATTGGGCCATACCAAGTGTACCTTTTACATGGGGGAGAATATATAATTAATTTTAAGTTGTACATTTCCTTTGACTTATGAGTTGTCTATTTACTTTGTATTCTGTTGAGTATTAGTGATTTGAAGAGGTTATTAAACTAACAGTTATTTTGTTTTGTTTGGTGTTACATAATTTGTTAGAATTTGTTATTACCTTATGTGTCTGGACTGATCAGCCAGTAGTTATGTCCCCTGTGTTTGTTGTGTGTTAGGGCAGTTATAACGGGGTAAATCAAACCTATAGATGGGCAAAGTAAGACTTTGTGAAACACTGAAACACTCAAAGCATTTGTGCCAGAGATGTATTGAGGCTTTGAAACAATCTGAAACCCGTCTCCATGATGACATCTGCTGGCCAACTTTCACTACACCAGTACACTACACTGGCACAGACAAGCTCTGCACAATTCCAAACAAAGCTTCTTATTATACCAGACTGTTAATAATTATGATCAACACATATTTTGGAGGCCAGAAAAATATTGGGACCGTTAAAGATGGGTGGCAGCCTGTGACTATAGTGATCGGTGTACTTCAGCAAAATTCTTCCTCTGTTAATAGTCATATTGCTTTCAGCAACTTAATTTACAAAGTAAATCATTCTTAGAAAAGGCCGCTGTGTTTACTGGAATAACCACAGAGGTTTCCAGCTGTCTGGAGCTCAGTCTGTCTCGTTTTTTCCTCAAAGCCTTCAAACTTTGGACGTCTTCAGTTGATTTTGAAGCTTTCCAGGTGTTAGTGTCAGCTTCGTGCTAGAAGCCCCCAGTCTCTGTCTTAATGCTAGTAATCATTCAAAAGAGGTCCTTACATATTATGTATATATCTATATAATATTGGATTGATTACACTATAGATTCCAGTGTTTAATTGAAGTAATAGTATCATAAACATTAATTCAGTAATTACAAATGACTCAGATTCTTGAAACATTGGAATCCTGGTGCTTTGTAATACCTAGAAGGAGCAGGTTTGGCACCGGTTGAAATTGGGGTGAAGTGCACCAAAACCTTGTTTAGTTGTGGTCATGTGACCCAGGTGTTTTGAACCATGCTTCGGAGCAGTGTTTCAAAACATCTGCACTTCACAAGCTTGACACAGTGTCGAAACACCATTTCCTCTCCAGTTTATAGGATATCTGCTTTAAGGCACACATTTGTAAAACTACCTTCTCCTACACCAACTACAGGGGCCTGGCTAGGTACAGGTTTTTCAAGGGTGCAGTGCTGGGTCTCCAAAACTACAAACAGGCTAAATTTAGCATCGCTATTACAAAAGGAGGAGGAACCATTAAAGAAGCCATGCTGCACATATATATTCGGTGCAAAGGAGGTAGAACTATACAGCAGTGAACCAACAACAAGCCGCCATCAGAGAGTTAGTGGTTAGGGTTTTAGAGTGATGTTATTTTAATTTTAATTTATATAGTACCAAATTACAACAGCAGTCTCCTCAAGGATTTATGAGATTGGTGGTCTTTAGGTCCCCAAGCATAATTCTGTCATGGAAATCCCTGCATGGTTCAGGAACACTTCCAGAAATCACTGTCTGAACACAGTTTGTTGTGCCATCTACATATGCAGATTAAAGCTCTATTATGCAAAAAAGAAGCCATATGTGAACATGATCACTTTTCTCTGGGTCAAAGCTCAGAGAAGACAGTCTCAGTCCATTCTTTGTCTCAGAATGGACAAAATAGAAAAACGTTCTGTGAACACACAACAGAAATTTTTTAATTGTTTTTGGAAAACATGAATACCTTATCCTCAGGACTAATGATAAGAGGCATCACCCAGCTTGTTATCAGCACCCAGTTAAAAGCCTGCATTTCTGATGGTACAGGGGTTCATTTGTGCCTATGTAATTGGCAACCTATGTATCTGGGAAGGCACCATCAATGCTGAAATGTATACAGAGGTTTTAGAGCAACACAACATAGATTTATCAGAAAAGAAGGAGGCAGCATTCCTCTTGCAGAAGTCTAGCTACAACAAACCTTTGCAGAAAAGGTAGTGGTGCACAGTGGTAAACGTGAAACTGTGCAAACTTTTTTGAGACTTCGTTACAATAAAATTAAAAAGGCCTTGGTTTTTTTATGGTAAATTTTCTCAGTGTTAACATCTGATATGTTTTCTTTGTTGCATTGTGAATAAAACGGAATTTGAAATTTGAAAATTCTGTTTTCATTTACATTTTATACAGCATCCCAACATTTTTGAAATTGAATTTGGATTTCAAAAGTTGGAAAAAGAAAGTAAATTGACTCAGGTGTACAGGTCCCACTCTCACTTTGCACTTATGTAGCGTCTAAGTTGTCTTCAGCAGGTTCAGGAAGCTCATGTTGTCTGTACATAAAGGTGAGGAGAAACAGAGCCACATCATATGAGCACCAATAGGCTGTATGTGAAGTCACAGCTGACCAATAGCGGCTTTCTACTAATCCCTCCCGCAGCTCGAAGTCAATGCGTCTCTCCAATTCCACTGCAACAGAAGAAATGCCATATTAGGATCTAAGATCATGTGAGCCAGGCTGGTGCTGAATACTCATACTGAAGAAGTTCATTTTCACTATGCAACATGTGGTTTCCATTTCAGTTTACTGGAGCAATAAAATTTCTACTTTTGGCCTAAACTCTTACTATTAACCAGACATTGAATATTTTGTAGGTATGCATTAGTAAACTACAGTAGATCATAAAACATATTTATAAATACTGAATGTACGCATACATTTGTAACCACCAACCTTTCTTTCTCATCACAAAATTGAATAGAATAGCCCATTATTGTCATTGTACATTTACAACAAAATTGTGGGTGCACAAAACCAGCTGTGCAGGAGTAAAATATAAATAGCAGACAGCAGGAATAAATAACAAAGAGGAGAAATATATACAATCAAGAGGAATATATAAAAAGCAATAGAGTGCTTGGAAGTACTGCAAAGAAAAAATACTTCTGAAGACAGTCCGTGTGTGTGTGTGGCCTGACTGATGGGGGTTACTCAGACTATGGCTCAGATTAGTGAGGTGGGTGGGGTGTGGGGGAGCCAAGGAGAAGGAGCTGTTTGTGAGTCTTGAGGTGTGGGACCTGACTGACTTTAGGTGCCAACCAGAGGGCGGCAGGTCGAACAGGTAGTGGGCGGGGTGCAAGGGATCACCTGTGATGGCCCAAGTTTTCTTGAGACAGGAGGAGCTGGCGATGGCCTCCAGGGGTGGCAAAGGGCAGCCAATGATTTTTTGGGCAGTGTTAATTAACCTCTGTGCAGCCTTTTTTTTCTCAGTTGTGGCCCCTGCATACCAGACACCCATGCAGAGCACAATCTCCACTAAGGAGTGGTAGAAGGCCAGCAGCAGCTTCTGGTCCAGGTTACTCTTCCTCAGGACACAGAGGCAGTGCAGCTGCTGCTTGGCCTTGTTTACCAGGGCGATTGTGTTGTTGGTCCAGGTGAGATCGGTGGAGATGCCGAAGGTGGAGAAGGTGGAGACAGATTACAAATAATCTATATAAATGGAATATAGATTACACCTATAATCCATTTATGATGCAAGGGAATTGGACCTCCGCGAATCGCTACCTTATCATGTTGGAGGGATTTGTGTGTCCCAGGGATCCCCGGGGCTATGTTGTCTGGGTTTTTTTTGCCCCCTGGTAGGGGGTGACACATTGTCTGGTCCCTCCCCCAGGATCAAAGAGCAATTCAGAAGACCCTTATAAGAAGACCATCGAGGGAACAGTTCACCCTGCCCGGGATAGGGTTACCGGGGCTCCGCCCTGGACCCAGGCCCGGGGAGGGTGCCCGAGGGCAACCTTCTGCATCGGGCAGAAAAAGGGACATGAACCCATCTTCCTGCAGGCCCACCACCCGCACAAGGCACCGTAGGGGTCGGGTGCATTGTGAGCCGGGCGGCAGCGAGGAGCGCAGGCCCTGGGTGTGTCTGCTTTGGGGTATCTGCTTTTCGCAGATGATGTGGTTCTGTTGGCTTCATCGGGTGATGGCCTCCAGCTCGCTTTGGAATCGTTTGCAGCCGAGTGTGAAGCGGCGGGAATGAGAATCAGCACCTCCAAATCTGAGGCCATGGTCCTCAGCCAGAAAAGGGTGGAGTGCCCACTTCAGGTCAGCGATGAGTTCTTGCCCCAAGTGGAAGAGTTTCAGTATCTCGGGGTGTTGTTCACGAGTGACGGGAGCAGGAGCAAGAGATTGACAGACTGATTTGTGCTGTGGCTGCAGTGATGCAGACACTGTACCGGTGTACCTATGGTCATGAGCTGTGGGTCATGACTGAAAGAACGAGACCGTGGATACAAGTGGCGGAAATGGGCTTCCTCCGAAGGGTGGCTGGCCTCTCCCTTAGAGATACGGTGAGAAGTTCGGCCATCCAAGAGGAGCTCAGAGTAGAGCCGCTGCTCATTCACATCGAAAGGAGCCAGTTGAGGTGGTCCGGGCATCTGAAAAGGATGGGAGCCTCCTGGGTGAGGTAGTCCGGGCATGTCCCACCGGGTGGAGGCCCCGGGGCAGACCCGGGAAACGCTGGAGAGATTATATTTCTCAGCTGGCCTTGGAACGCTTGTCTCCCCGGACACCTGGTCGAGGAGGAGGTGGCTGGGGAGAGGGAAGTCTGGGCTTCTCTGCTTGGGCTGCTGCCCCTGCAACCTGGCACCGGATAATAGGAAGGAAGGAAGGATGGATGGATGGATGGGTGGGAGGGAATTGGACCTGTCTGTGCCTCCTGAAGTCCATGATGAGTTCTTTTGAGGTTCAGGTTATTTTCTGAGCGCCAGTTGGACAAACTCTTTACCTCCACCCTGCATGCTGTCTCATGTTCATCAAAGATGAGCTCAATCACAGTGCAATTGGCATACTTGATGATGACATTGGTTGTGTGGGTTGGTGTACAGTCATAGGTGTAGAGGACATACAGTAGGGGGCTGAGAATGCAACCCTCTGGGGACCCGATGCTGAGTGAGAGTAGAGTGGAGAGGTGGGGGTCAAGTCGGACTGATTGAGGCCGGTTGGTTAAGAAATCTTTGATGCAGGAGCAGGTGGCAGGGAGGATGTGGAGGTGGTCCAGTTTGGTGGGAAAGGATGTCTGGGATTATGGTGTTGAATGCTGAGTCCACAAAGAGCTTCCTCTCGCAGCTCTTCCTAGTGATGGTAATGGAATACTCTGTAGGCCGATTTGCTCTGTAAGCAAACTGGTGGGGGTCAAGAGAGGGAGGTAGGCAGTCTTTGATGTGCTGAGACACTATCTGCTCAAAACACTTCATTGCAGTGCAGTGGCAGACCCTGTATTTATTTAAGAGGACCCAAACGCAGACGCTCAAGGCAGGAATCAGGTTTAACAAAAAACAAGCTGTTTATTGAAGGCCAAAACACATGCGAAACAAAGGCAAAAGAACATGGAGATAAACTAAACTAAAAATCTAAAGTGGGGAAAAACTAACCAAGGTCTAGTCTAAGTGTCAGGAGTTCTTTAAGTTTTCTTGAAGACGTTTTACATCTCATCCAAGAAGCTTCTTCAGTTCTAAGAGCAATTGGTGGAGAGTCCCGGTTTTATGCCCTGTGGAGTGTCCACAAGAGGGTCATGGACCCCCTATTGTTCCTCTACCTAATCACATGAGCCAAGGTGTGAAAACGGCTGTGGGTGAACAAATTGTAAGACCTTGCCTCACCCTATCATGTGATTTACTGAGGTCAAATGACCCAGGATGTGAGTGGGCTTTAAGGCGTCTGGGAAGGATCTCAAAACTGGATTACAGAGGGCTGACAGTTGGTGTCCTAAGCCCCACCCTCTGTTCAATAATGGTCATTCAAAGTGGACATAGATGGCTTCTTTCACTCCTCTTTCAAATCATCTGTCTTATCTGTCCTAAATGTGAACACTGGCATCCTCAAAAGAGTGACCTGTGTCCTTTAGATGCAGATGGACAGCCGAGTCTTGTACCCTGGTGGTGGCTCTTCTATGTTGTGCCATGTGTTTATCCAGTGGCTGTTTGGTCTCTCCAATGTAGAGGTCCTAGCATTCCTCACTGCACTGTATAGCATATACCACGTTGTTAAGTTTATGTTTAAGAGTTTTGTCTTTGGAATGAACCAGTTTGTGTCTGAGTGTGTGGCTGGGCCTGGAGTACACTGGGATGTCGTGCTTGGAGAAGTCTCTGAGTTTTTCTGATAAACCGGCTACATAGGGGATAACAATGTTGTTGACTTTGCCTTTCTGATCCTCCCTAGGTGGTGTCTGATCTTCTTTTCTGTGCGTCTTT